TACTCATGTGATAAGAGTAATTAGATGTTTCACTGACAACGATGTGTGTCTGAATAAACGATTCGAACGTTTCACCGTTAAAACGTGACTACTGTAATTTTGATGTTATTCAAGAAAAACACGTCTTGTAAAAATATTTGAAATCTGAATTATACTTTTGCAAACACTGACCTTTGTTAGAGATGTATATAAAAAGATATATATAATTTCAGCAGATCTAAGAATTCGTAAAGACAATGATATTCGCTCGTGTCACAGGCATAAAGGTGATTTAATCATCAGCCGTATTTCTGAATAGTTAGTGGTTGAAAAGTATCAAGACACTTGAGGTGTCTCTGAACAGAAATTAATTTTGACAAAATATTTAACCCCACTAACATGTGTCCGCCAACCGAGTCTGCTTTTTGGAAACTTTATTGAAACTTGTTCTATATTTACGCGATCGCTCACCAGCAATGGCCCGTTTTTACCCCGACTCGCGTTTCGCAATTTGTCACGCTCGTGCTTGTGACGTTTATAAGATAAATAATATTACCGAATAAACAGTTGTTTCTTGGCAGCTGTTTAGAGAACATTGTCTCTCAAAAACGCCGTTGTACGCAAAAAGTAAAAAGGGAAAAAAAAAAAACATCTAAAAAAAGAGAAACGTAACGGCTGCAAAATCGAGAGAAAAACAGGCAGCGGAAACAGAAACAGTGCAGATATATTTGAATAATGGCGTTTCTCTTTGTTCATTATTGTGAGTGTACGAAAACAGAACTAGAATATTTTTCTGATAATTATCCGATTGAAATTTTCGTTTAAGGTCAAGACGACGAATGCATAGACCTTGCGCATACAATGTTGAATTTAAAAGTCAAAATTACAGCACGTGACGCATCTGTAGATGAAAGTGACCCCAAAAATGTTGAAGATATTAGGCCTATAAATTATTCCATGCATTTTATGCTTAACTAAGTTGACGTTTATTTTAACCTTAAATGTGTATCGCCACCTCATAATTCATATGCCTATAGAGCTTATATTGAAATACTTCCAAATTATGACCGCGAAGCAAAAAGTTCTCATCTAAGTATTGTCTGCTGGTCTCAAGACACACCTGGAAAAATGGATAATTTTACGGACAATAATAAAAGCTTAAATGAACAAAAGCAATATTCATCAGATGGTAAAACTTTTGATTTTCTCGGACATTTACATTGAAATGTATTCTATCAAGAATGCTTCTTTGAGAACGGTGCTCGAACACATATATGTCCAACAAAATCTCGTCATTCTTTTTGTTTAATAAATGTCTCGGATATCGAGTGCAAAGTTGACACAATTGAAGCATCGTTAATAATGCGATGTGTAAAAATATCACTTAGTACTTTGCTGTCTCATGCCCGAGTTTTAACAAAAACCACAGCTAAATATCCGTTAATTCGTGTAGCGGTTAAAGCTGTTTCTATCCATAGTGTTCATAGTGAAACCAGTAATAACACTATTCTTGGATAATTGCCACGTCGTATAATAATTGGTTTTCATCATTACAAAATTAATTATTCAACGTTGTATGTTGATGGCCGCCTAATTCTATTGAAATCTTTACAACCAAATTTTACTAAAAACTCTCAAGTCCTAGGTTATATTTTTTAGATGATGATAATTCAATTGGTGGAAAATAAAACGCTTCTAGAATGGACGTTTGTCCGAACAATGTTAACGTAAGTAAATCATCCATGACTAATACTTATTGGAAAGTGCATATTCCTTTTACTTTCCCTAGTAAAAATTTTAAACACAAGTGTCCGCAATTATCTGTACCGTAATCTTGATGTTTTTCATAATTGTACAGTATCTTATCAACATTAAGATATTTCATAAGCTCATGTGGTGGCTGCAAATCGCCAAAACTGTCAGAATATATAACTTTATTACCACGTTTTTTATATGCCACCCAATGTGTTCTAGGTTCAGTATTATTATCGAGATTACTAATTGCTGATTCATTTTTCCACGATGTAGATTCTGGAAGATCATTCCATATAAAAAGACCACGAAGAAAGGGTATTTTTTATACTTTCGAAGTTCAATATCAGTCAGTGCACAATGGGGTAAATTAAGAAGTTTGTTTTTTCTTACCAGTTTTAAATACAATCCTAATTCTTTCTTGTGCGGTTTTAAACGTAGACCTTTACCCAAAGCCATTGCTTCCATTTTCTCGTTATGTCGTTTAGCTTCTTCTAATTGATGTTTGGCGTCTCTAGCGTCATTAATTGCTTTTGCAATGCCAGCAGCGCCACCTGCTACAGCACCAACTGCACTTAAACCTGCAAATAGAGGTATAAGAGGTAAAATACCTTCCACTTTTGGCGGCATTGGTATAATACGTAGAACTTTGATTTTTTTCTTTCCACTAGCATCGCAAACAGTCTTTCGTGCAGCAACTTATGCACATTTAATAAGACCTGAACTGGAATTTAACATAAGCTTTGCTGAATTAACAACTTTTCGCGAATGTTTAACTCTCTTGTCCTTTTTGTTTTTTTCTTTCAAACCCATTCCCAATTTTGATTCAACTTTAATGACGTTGGAAATTTCTAAAGCAGCATTTCGTTCAGCAATATCTGTTTTTTTTGCAAGAACGCGTTTCATATTCTATCAGCTGCGTTTCTAGCTTTAATGTCATCTCGATTTTGCGAATATGCAATATCATTTTCTTTACAAGCAGCGTCCAATGTATTGATTCCTGGATCTCTACGTGCTAATCTCTCCTTCAATTTAGTTCCCAGACCACAATAATGATATCCTGGTATATAAAGTTCAAATGGCAATTTATTTATAAGTGTGTTAATACTAGCACCTCGTTTTTTGAGACGCCTCTGCACTATCATTGTTCAAGAACTACTTACTAGACACCTATAAGAGATGTAAATTTATATCTAGAATGTCATTTTACATCAAGATAAAGTTCAATCAACACGACGTTAAGTTACCTGTAATTAACTTTGACCTATCATGAGACACAAACATCAAACGTCACAAACAACTTTTACCAAATAGTGTCCGTAGTGTTATTTCTGGCCTATCAAATTGTGAAAAGACAAATACTCTTTTAGCACTTATTGTACATCCAAATGGCCTACGTTTTAAAAATATTTATTTGTATCAAAAATCATTCAACTAACCTAAATATCAGTTTTTAAAAAAAATAATTGAACCAATTAAAGGTATTAAATTTTATGCTTTTAATGAGCATGAGAAAGTGGTAAAACCAGATGCAGCAAAACCCAACTCAATTATGATTTTCGATAACGTAGCATGTGAAATACAAGGTGATATGCGAACCTATTTTTGTATGGGACGACATAGAGATATTGACTGCTTCTATCTTTGGTACGTGATAATACAAACTTTCTCGTATTTTTCAGACAAGATGACATGAATCTAAAACACATTTACGACGATTATGTAAATACTGACATGACTTATTCTCATTTTCGAGATATATGTTCAATATGCTGGAATAATGATAAATATGGCTTCTTGGTAATTGATAAAGACAGTGATCTTAATGATGGGTGGTATAGAAGATTATGAATGATTAACGAATTTTCCGTGTAAAGTCACTAGATTTACGATTTAACGATTGCAGAAGGGCATAAGCCTCCTCCATCATTTTAATTACATCAGAATAATAGTTTAGTGCACTCATTTCATTGACTATACTAGAGAAACTTTAGAATTACAATGATAGAAAAGTGTGCTTAATAAGATTTATATAGGATTTGAATGACCTTGTAATGACTATCATAATCAAAAAAAAATTTCTTGAAAATTCGAGAATTTTTATTTTAACTTATTTTAAATAACGATTTTCTTAAAATGTAAAGGGGGGAAGTATTTAAATGATTTCAAATGTTTCTTTTTTTCTATTTATTGTATTCATTATTTTTGTGACGTAAATTTTTAGATTACATTTCATCAACTATAAATTCAAAAGAATTTTTAGCTTCACCGTGGTACAACCATGATAATCTGTAGTCAGCAGCTAACTAATTTTTTTAATTTTTTACGATTTTTTAAAATTTTTACTGTTCTTGAAGGGAAAAATATCATGTGGGTATTTTTAACTGTTGCCACAACTTCTGTTCCGTACACAGTTTTAAGTTCTTCTAGACCAGTAATTTTGTACGTTTTAGACGGTTTTAATGTATCTATCTTCTTGGTTGGTAAGTATGTCTCACACTTGGCAATTTTCTTTACTCTCGACAAATCCATCTTTATTGTTTCAATTATGTGTAATGTCTGAATGTATTTTAATTATTTCACATAATTATTCAAAATATGTTTTATAAGTAGCTAAAAATAAATAGCAATAAAACTTAAGGATTGAGGTTAACGATTATTACTCAAGTTATTTTTTGAGTTTTTGTAAGATTTCGTTAAAATAGAAAGGATTTCAGCGCTGCCTGAATCGCTCACAATTACCGACTGCTGATAGGGACAGTGCCATCCAGCGGGAAAATCGGCAAATAAACCTACGGTCGACTCGGGTAGTAAGTTACCAGTTGGTAAAACAGAGATATCCTCAGATAGTAATTTAGCACGGACTCAAACCTCGACCCGTTTTATCGGGCGGGGAAACTCTACTTACTCATCTACTACCATGGTTTTACCCTGCTCGATATTCAGGTAGTCCTGTCAACTTTTGAATATAAACCTGGCATATATATGTCGTAAAATCAATCAATAACATTTTAACCTTCTCTATCATCACCAACTAAGGCGAGGTCTTCACTCCTAAAGAAGTAACTAAAGCTCTTCAACTATATTTGAACTCAGAGACCGCTATCGTTACACGAACGTAACACTGCGAATAAACAAATTCCATAAACTTATTCCTTGTAGTAGAAAATAAGTTTCCATGAAAATTAAACATTTCACTTTGTGAGTAATTTATGCTGGATCTTGCTGACAACAGAATGTTACAGATGGAAGTGCTTTTCCTTCCTTAAAAAAAAAAATTATTGGCGTTACGCATTTACATTGATCGATGAAGAAAGTTTATGAAATTGTTGAAAAGACTTAGAAACTTGTGTTGTTTAAGAAATAGACGTACTCCATTTTCGTAAAACTGTAAACTCACTCGTAAAAAATTGATAAGATCAAGTTAAAAGAATGAGGAACTGATCGATTATTATTACAATAATATCGATACAATGCACTAATCAATTTCTTTGTTAAACGTCCCATTCGATAATATTCACTTGAAGAAATGGATTAACTTTAAATCCCATTTCTTGATTACATTTTAGTATAATTGTTTGTAAACTTAGCAGAACAGATGCAATATTACAAAGTATATCACCATCTAAAAAGAATTGTTTGGAACTAAATATGTTACTGCGATCGATGTAATTTAATTGTTCATAAGAAGCGTTGCGTATATGAAATTGTTGAGTTCGTATAGTTTGTGCCACATTAATATTCTTTCGATTATTCGAATTTTTCGTACATGAAATATTCTGTTTCAAGGAAACTTTTCCTTTTGCTATCAAATCTGGTTCACAAAAAGGTGGTTTCGTTCGAACACGTAGCAAAGGTAATAATTTATTACGTACCAGATATGAATTCTGACTTTTATATTTACAAATAGCTAATATATATATATCAATGTATTTTTCTAATATATTTAACTGATCAACGTTTGTTTCTTGGCTGTATTGACGGAAAATTGTAAGTTTAAGTACGTCACCTAAATCGAGTAAATCTAGCAATCCATACTCTTTTTTGTAGCAAAAAGATATGATTTTTTGAATAATATTTACATCAAAAGCTGCTTTATCCGTAGTGTAGATTTTTTTCAATGCTCCTTCGCCCACATCTACAACCCGAGAAATTTCGGAGTATGCATCGTTAGGATCTCTTAAAGTACTCATCTTTAATCAATTGATATAAACTATCTAATATACAATTTTTTGGGACTGATAAATTAATTTATATTGTACTAATGATAGCCACAGTTTTTTTTGTTTTTTGTCATTGATGATATCCGACTTATGAAAATTGTATGTATTTGTTCATCGAAACGTTATAATTGATCGATAATGATATTCTCTTCACCGATAGCATGGGAGTCATTACACGTATATACATGATTATTTAGTGTTCATGGGTAGCTTGTGAGTAGACTGTGGCGAATTGAGCTGATTTTGCTCCCACTTCCACCATAAAGTGTAGATCAATTTTCGTCCATCGAAGCTAATTCATAGAGATTGGGGGTAGCCTAGCATCCCATAGTAAAGTTAATTGAGGGTCAAGGAATTAAATTTGTTTCCAGGCCCTGGTTAGAATTTTTTTTAATTAAAATGAAAAAATATTCGACAATTCTTTCTCATGATTATTGCGTAATGTCCTAGTGTATTTCAATTATTTTACATAATTATTCAAAATATATTTTGAGAGAATCTCAAAATAAATAGCAATAACACTTAAGGATTGAGATTAACGATTATCACTTAAGTTATTATGTCATATTCGACTAAATAAATACGTAAGGTTTGATGCATCAGTCAGTTGTTGAAAAAGGAAGATCGAGATCAGATCGTCGTGAAACATATCTTGAAATCGTAAGTCCTGTTTTGTCTTGAATATTGTATTGATAATATTTCAAAGTTTGTGAATTTTCGTATGAAGTTTATTTGATCGTCAAATAAAGATCATTTAATTAGTTTTTAATAAATATTTAAATTGATTCGCCAGTATAAGTGAATATTGCGCTGACTGAAACATCAACTAAGGACCAATTAATCCATCTCGACCAGAGTAAAAGAAATAATCTGTTGGTAAGGTTCAAATTATTGTTATAATTTTTCAATAATTTCCATTCTGTTAATAAAATGTCAACTTGTGAATAACCTAACCGATAGGGATGAGTGTGCCGGAACAGAGATAATGGTGAAGTCAGATGTTAAAGAAATACAAAATTCTTTATTAAGTACCACTAACAACTACACTATACACTGTACAAGATTTTAGTTGCTGTATAACAATAATGAATGTCTCTGAAATAAACTGAAAGTCACTTGGAATCACTTGATTCCCACTAGAATGTCTTAATACAACTCAACTTAGTGTTTAGTATTATTGACCTCCCACACGAGCCCAGCGCGCTTTTCAAGTTGAGCAAGAATATGATTGTGCACATAACGTTAGCCTAAAAATGCAGTGCGAATTGAATTCAATTTAATTATCTGAATTTACTTTGAATTGTCTGGAAATATTTATTAAATTAACTATGAGATGAAATGGTGAATGAGAACAGAAAAAAAATGGCGACAGGAATTGCATTGGTCAAGATGAACACTGAATTTTAGTCAATTGAGTGACTAGAATTAGAAATATTGATTATTTGGTCGATTGATTATCGACCTAGTGCCAAGATGGCCGCTTAAGTTCCTATCAGCTAATGGTTCAAACTTGAGAATTAATTAATTCTCAGCACAATCAATAAATTTTGTTATTATTTTTATATAAATCACACATTTTTTCTATCGAAGATCCCTTCATCTCTGTCTATTGGTCAAAAGGCAAGGATTAAAAAGAGGAACTTAGAGTCTCTAAGGTTAAGCATATGGTTTGCATATTGACACCATAAAGAGCAAAAATTCATACCAATTACATAAAAATTGTTATTAATTAATTATATTTAATAAAATTTTCACGGAACATTGGATGATTCGAAATTGTCCTAAAAAGGATTCGAACCTACGACCCCTACTTTATGCAATATAAATCGGTGCCTTAATCTCTTTCGATATTAGGTTATTAACTACGTTGTCACAATTACACATATATCAACAGATGCATAATATTTTTTTAATAGTCAAATAATCTCTTTACTTGAATATTTAGTAATTGATCGTTTAATCGATTGAAATATTTGAATGAATTCTGTTCTTTACAAATATAATGTATTATAGTCAGTATAATAGAATTATAGCTTCGTAAAATAGTAGACTATTCGTCGAAGTTAGAACAACATCAAAAAATATTTTCATTATAAAAAAATTTATGAGGGAGATTAGGAAAATTTATAATAATTCAGATTGTTAAAAAAATTTCTTCTTTTCTTTTGGAATAAAATATTCCAACAGCACTGTTGAGAATTAATTAATTCCCAAGTTTGAATTGCCAGTTGACATAAACAACGGCGGCCATCTTGAAACTAGATCGATAACCAATCGACCAAATAATCAATAATTCTCAATCTAGTCACTTAATTGACTAAAATTCAGTGTCCATTCTGACTAATGAATGCATTGCATTGTTAGGCTAACGCCACGTGCACAATCAACATTCAACCAAACTTGAGAAGCGTGTTAAGCTCGTGGACTTGGTCAATAATGCCAATCATACCATGTTTAGTTATAGTTTTGAGACATTCAATTGCCATTCAGTGAATAGTTAATTAACATATTGTGCTTATAGTTAACATTCATTAAATTCTAGAGACATTCATTCATTTATTCAGTGAAGTAAAAGTTGTACAGTGTATCTTGTTCATTATTAGTGCTAAAATAAAGAATATTATATTTTTTATAACACCTGACTACCTAATAAGCTCTGTTCCGGTACAATCATCCCTTTCCTTAAATGGCTAGGTCATTCAAAAGTTGACTTTTTGTCAACAAGCACTATTGTTAACTTCCCTCTGAAAAGTTATTGTTATGGGTCCGATTTTGCGAATCTCTAATTTTGACAAATCTCCACGTTTCAAGTTCCCCAGAGTCAAATACAATAGGTTTTGAGAGGACGTATGTGTGTGTGTATGTACATGTGTTTGTACGTTGGTACGTTCGTACGCGCGTTCGAATTTATTTTTCACCTCAATTATCTCGAGAACAAAAAACGAAATCGATGGGAGACCAATTGCATTCAGTAGGTAAACTGATTAAATTTTCAGCAAAATCAGTCCTGCCTTTTTTGATGCGAAATCAAAAAACAGAAAGAAATCGTGAAGTAGCTAAATTTGATCATTCTTCGTTCTGGGAAGTTAGTAGTGTGGACCTTTCGAATCACACCTGGACTACTGGTTTTCTCTTTTATAAATAAAATATGAAATAATTATTGAAATAATATTATATAATTAAATGTTTATTCATTTTATTTTAGTAGTTTAAAATTTTAAGATCAATCCATGACAATATGATGTTCTAAAAATTACAATAGATAATAGTTTTTTCAATCATTTCAGATATAATTTTATTCGAATTGACGTTTAGGAAGGAAGTTACCAGTTAATGCACGTTGACCTATAGCTGACTCAAAATTAATTAGCTAAGGCAATATACCCAACTTTGGTTCAGGTCTGGGACAGAAAGAACTACCTATTCTTGGTAGATCAATTATATGCCCAACTTGGTCCAACCTTAGATCGACTCTGTTCAGCCAAAGTTAGGCAATTCAAAGTTAGGCCAAAGTTCACCCGATCGTCAAATCTGGAACTTTTTACATGCGGTAGTATAGAGGTACAGAATTGCACAGTGAAGCTACAAAATTTATATTTATGGCCAGAATAGTTATTATGACATGTGTTAATTTCTGAATCATGCCATTTTTCATTTAAATAGCAGATTCCCGTGACTTCGTCCGCGTAGTGCATATAATCACATCATAAAAGTTGAACTTTATCAAATAAATCGCGTTTTTCATTGTTTATAACAAATTTAATTGTTATAAACAATTTAAAAAAACAAAAAGTAGCCTATAACCTTTCTGAAAATGCCCTCTACATATGTGCAAAATTTGATTGAATTCGGATGAGCCGTTTCGGAGATTAGCGTAGATAGACAGACAGACCGACACCAGAAACATCTATAGTAGTATATATAATATAATTGTTTTCAAGTTGCACTAAATTTTCAAACATTTATTTATTATCGGTTCATGCGAATAGCACTGCACTTGACTCAATTTGGCTAAAAGGTATCGACGAACCATCGTCACATGGTCTTCAGCCAAGCGCAATTACGATCAAGCGTGAAAAAGCTAACGCGTGGTAAGACTAAGTTCACATCACACATTTTGATTGCGATTTCTGGCTCTTCCAGACAAGTTCTATGCATAAGAGACCTGTTTCTGCAGCTTTCCGAAGAAAGAAGAGAACTTCACGAAGCTGTTTACGGACCTGTTCCTATATTTATGTATACTTTGACTATCTCCTAGGTATAGGCGAGTCGTTCGAAAATTGAATGAAATAAAATACATGATCAATACTGATAAAGATAACATGATGGGACTAAGAAAATGAAAAATGGTAGAATGTAGTTGGAAATGCAGCTCTCAGTCTGTTTCCTTCACTATTGCCCCATGCCCAACTAGCGCTCTCGCGGCTTACATTTTCAGTGCTAAGTAACACTTTTCTGACATGGTCAGGTGTATCCCATGACCAGCCAGACATTTTTCTCCCCATCGACTACTTAAACAACTCAAGGTCTTTCCTGCCAACTCATCTACGCCAATTAGACTGCTCTAATTAATTCTCAGGCGTAGATATCGCTACTCGAAGAACTAAGAAGCTTCGGGAACGCAGAGTTTCCGAGAAAAACAGTCTGTATTAGTCAGTAATCGTCAGTTACCGTTTGTATCGGTCAGTATTCGTACGTATCTCGTACTCGGACGACTCTAAGGCATCATCAAACAGACAGAATCGGTACAACAGTCAACTCGGTACGTGTGCACTAGCAAAAAGCTCACGCAGTCGAACTCTCTAGTAAAAACCCAGACAACTCTTCGGAATATTCTTCAGACATGGAGTAACTGAACAGTCAATTCTTTTAACGATAAACAGAAAGTGGTTATCAATCTGTCTATCATTACAGAGAAATGTATTTTCAATTAGATTTATATACTTTATATAACAGTAATAAAACCAAATTAATGTTAATAAATTTTATAATAAATTCGGGCGCCGGGTGGGATGACAATCAC